TTTAATATATTTTGCTAATTCTAGTTCTAGTTAGATGAGTAATCTAAGTAATATTTTTGCAATTGAAATGCCACTGATCAGAACTTCCTGTTTGAGTTGTTGATTGTAACCGACTTTCAGATAACTAGCATTTGTATTTGTTCTTGGATAAACTCGTCTGCTTAATTTTCTTTGTCTATTCTATCTATTATCTATCTATTCTATCTATGTCTATTACCTTCTAATGAAATTAATACTAATTTTATCGTGGTAGTTAATCAGGTGCATCCTTTTATTCAGGATTTCAGATCAGACTCAGATCAGGTGATCAGAGTCACAGCAATGAAACTGATTTTAGCATGTAGGATTTGAAAGTTTGTGTTTAATCTTTATCACAGAACAAGGCACAATGCGAATAGCTGTTACTGTGGTACTGTGGTTGTTCCTGGAATGTGGAATGTCGTATTTATTGATATAGTGGACTGTCAAATACAAGCTGGATGGTAAATGCCCATTTGCACACAGCCATAATTGCATCATGAATTCGAGCTCTTCTTTTAGTAGCTTAAAATATCAATCATGGAGGATTTGGGGATATACTGTGCTACAGGGACCCTGGAAACAGAAAGAGGTAACGTAGCCAGGAATTAACCGTTTATTTTATTTTATTTTATTTTATTTTATTTTATTTTATTTTATTTTATTTTATTTTATTTTATTTTATTTTATTTTATTTTATTTTATTTTATNATTTTATTTTATTTTATTTTATTTTATTTTATTTTATTTTATTTTATTTTATTTTATTTTATTTTATTTTATTTTATTTTATTTTATTTTATTTTTTCTCCTTTTATTTCTGGACTAGCATAACTGAATGAAGTAGGTGACGTTTGAATTTCTTTATCATTATATATTTTTTTTAAATTTATTTTTCTTATTGTTAATCCTAGGAATGGGTTTAATGTTTCATGCTCTGGTGATCTGGCAGCATAGAAACAAGCTCAGCAAAGATGAGAGAAGAAAGCAAACATTCACAGCACCTTCTTTCAAACTATAGTCCGGAAACTATCTATTGCAACTGGATGTCCATTGCAAATCTGAATGGTTAGGGATTTCAGTCCTGACATAGTGCAGAGTGAGAGGACGTGACAAAGATACTCCTGAATTTAGAGGACTATAAGTAGGAAGTGTATATGAACACAATTTGTAGGAAGTTTGAAAAATTTATGGAATAAGGGAAAGGAAAACATTTTTCCTAATTTTTCTTTTCTCCCCTTCTCTTCCATATTGAACAAAATCTGTTTAATGGGTTTTGTATTTGGGATATATTTCTCCTGTAAACAGAGTTTATCAGGATTGTTTTCACGGAGCTACCTTTCACCCATAAATAATAAGTATTGTGTTGCTGGTTGTTCTGCTTTTATCACTTATGTTGGCATAGCGAAACAATATGATCTGTTAAAAGTCTTTTGTGGTTGTTTTCGTTGTTGTTCTCAAATTATATAGCATCAATAACAGCTTGTGAGGATGCTTTTATCTCTCTCCTTCATCTCCTTCCCCATCTGACCTTCATCCCCCAGAGAACTGTATACATCACAATTGCAGTCCCTGAGACCAAATGAGAGCAGTGATAGGTTGGTATGCTGATATTCTCTTGTATGCTTTGCTTCAATATATTGACGTCCTCTTTGTGAAAACCTAGCCAGTGAGAAGCAGAAGGAGGAGTCAGATTAGCAGAGGAAGCTCTTCTGACTATCGATTTTCTTGTGCCTTTTAATGGTTCATTAATTCCTCTAACAATTGCTTCTGGGGTAGCTGGCTGGTTGAAACCATCAGAAGCCAGCAGAATAGAGGTGGTCATGGCTGATAATGTCAACTTCCTTTTGTGAAGTCCTCTCCCTATGGGAATCCTCTCCCTCTTCATCTAGTATGGAAACAATATTGGGCTCCCTACAAATATAGAGTATCTTCATGTTGAGTATGGTATTCTGCTGCTTCTACAGCTTATGTAGATACTAGAAGAGTATGAATCAGTTGTTTCAAAAGGGATACAAAAGGTGGTAAGACAGAACACTCCAGAAATTAGCACTATGCAAGAATTGTTAATTGGATACTGTGTGAATTTTGTGTTGCTGCAGTTAATTGAGATTACTATAAAGACTCTAATAGATGTGATGAGAAATCTGAAATGTCTAGCACTGTATACCATGGCTGTTGTAAAACAGCAGGCTGGAATGACGCTTTTACTAATTCCAAAACCTCTACATATGCTTTATTTTATAGTGACCTAGAAAAAGAGTGCCTGTTGGAAGACAATAGGCAAGTCATTATGGTATAAAAGTTCAACAGGGCAGTACTAAAAATAGAACAGTAATTCTAAAGCTATTTTTGGTAGTTTTTCATTCTTAGGAGTCCCTGTTGTCCCAATTATTTCTGAGATAGATAGCTGTGAAATAATAAACACGACAGAAAAAAAGTTGACTTTTGTCTGGAAGTAGTAACAATGATAGAAAATCTGCATCTGATTATTCTATTCAGCTCTTTTTAAATTCTTTTTTCAGTGTAGCATGAACTCTCTGAATCTGAGTGCTACAGCAAGGAAGGATGATAGTAGATTTTTCGTAACACCACATAATATTCCAGATAGCTGTTTTGGGGCTATTTATTGAACACAATTTGGAAGACTGTTACAGAGGGAATAATGACTTGTGGAGTGTCCCTAACCATTTTTGGTTTTATGTTATCTTTTCCAGACAGTCTTTCTAATCTTTTTGTCCCATGGATGATGTTAAGAGGTAATAATAAACAATTATTGATTCTCACATCAGTCTTATGGAAAAATATTTTCTTTGAATGCCGATGAAAGTTATTTGCATATATGCCAGAGTGATATCTGAATTTTAGTCAGTCATGCCTGGTCTGTCTTAATGTGTTCTGACTGTTAAAGGGCCTCAAAATAGGAAAAGCCAGATGGTCTAACCAAGAAAGTCATAAAATTTACTTTCTTGATAGAGAATGTCTCTTGATGTCTGTGGATAAACAGAACTCTGTGTCAATGGCTGAAGTGCGTTAATAGTTTTTGTTTTGGTTGGTCAAGTTTTAAAGCGTTTATTTTAGAGTATTGTCTATCATTTAAAAACAATCATAAATTTAGTCTGAGAGCAGCTTGACCAGACCCTATCGAGTTGTCCTTACTTTTTTTTCGTATTTTGTTTTTTCTGTAGTATGCACAATAAGGCTCAGTGCAGTGATAAGGGCTTGTTGATGGCATCTTGTTTTTCCTCAAATCACCTAAGTGCCTGCAGTCACAAATAGCTTTGTGTAAGATGTTCCCCATCCAGTAGAGTTAATTGCCAAAGTGTAATTTTTAAGCATCTGGTGGGCTGCTTTGCTTGCCTGCTTGGAACACCGTTAACCACGGAGAAGTTTTCACCAGCTGGTGGTAGAACTTTTTCAATTCTTGTAATCAGTAGGTCTCTAATAGATTGAGGTTTCCTCTGGGGAGGGCAGTTGGAGTTCTGCAAAGTTTTTCACAGCTAGAAGATGTACTTTGTGTATCAATTCAAAGCCCAGAAGAGATGAGGCATGACATAGGGGAGTGAAAGTAAGAAGTTCTCCCTAAAGAAATATTTCAACTTTAGCATTTTAGTGTTAGAATGTTGTGGAAATTAAGTTGTTGAAAAAATATTTTCATTCATATGTAACTGTAAGTAGTAAATGGCAGCCCTTAGTGTATGGCACTATTTTCTAAAAGTGTACATCAAGTAGTAGAAGGAGGTAAGGACAAATAGGACAAATTCACCTTAACCATTAAAAGAAAAGCAGAAGTTAAATATTTTTTAATCCAGAATTTACAATATTGATGATTTCTGATATTGTTCCTTTCCTTTTAGGATGGTAAAATACTCACATCTTTCATAGGAATGTCATAATTTTACTATATTTTGTGCTATGTGCACTTTATACTGATGATGGATCAAGAACATTTTGATATGCATTGCTTTAGTTCAAGAAGAGGTTATTTCAGTAGAATAGATGTGTGATATGTGTGGGGGAACTTTTCGTTGCATTCCATAGACATGCCCTCTCTATATGCTAACTTGTTATTACAGTGCATAGAAGTGATCATTTATTAAAACTTGTGTTTGCTGCCCTCCCTCAAGGCTACATCTGAAAATCCTAAAAAATATCAGGCTCACAATCAGCAGAACTGGCAGTCAGTGTAGTTCTAGGGATGGAAGGAGCTCTCCTTGTGGACTCTTGTGAGGCATGCATCACTCTAGGGTGCTTGAGGACACTACTGATGTGGTTAGAAGACCTCCTAAAGGTGGAGGTGCACTCAGCCAGTGTAGCTGACCATAACACACAGACTTCAACTAAGACATGGAGATAGAGACACCCGCACTTGTTGAGCAGTATCTCCAGTTAGGTTTGCTGTCTCAGTGACATCTGTAATCACCTATAATCAAGTCAGTCTGTGTATTATGATACTAGCCAGACCAGACTTCATTTTCAGTAAATTAGTTGTACATACCCCCATTGTAGATGTGTCACATAAGATGAGGTGCTATGTGTCCTGAATACCTGACTGACAATTATCTGTGGGACATTAGACAAGATGTCTTACATGCGTTTTACAGATCTTTTTATGGCCCAGGAAATAGGGACTGATTTCATGAGCTGTGTACAATAAATATGCCCATTAAAAGAGTGTGCTGTAGAAGGAGGGACAAGATTTTGTCACAGCTGTTTGAAGTGGATTCAAAATTATGTGATGTATGGGACAATATTTGAAGTGAATAGTTAATATGTGCATCAAAGCAAATTACTAAACAGTCCCCAAAGATTGCTTTCCCCTCCTCACTTAGTGTTCTTATCTTTATGTCAGTTTTCCATTTGTCATTCTGTCTGCATCTCAGGTTGGTACTGTACCTGATTTTTTCTGTTTCAGAACTCCCTCTTTAATAGAGAGTTACTTAAGGCCTACCGCTGCATGTGTGTTTGCCTTTTTTTTCCAGGAAGCCATTTTATGGATTATTTCAATATAATTCCAATATGATTGGACTAGAATCATTAGATGATCCCTCAGACACCTGGGAGATTATAGAGACTATTGGAAAAGGCACTTACGGTAAAGTCTATAAGGTTGCCAATAAGAAAGATGGGAGTCTGGCAGCAGTAAAGATTCTGGATCCTGTCAGTGTAAGTATGAATATTTAACTTCCTTGTTAGTTAAAGAGTTGTTAAAGAGATTGGAAATGCAACTCAAACGATTAAAGGAGCAACTTGACAGAATGCATTGTTGGAAGTAAGCAAGATTTGGTACTCTCCTGGTGTATTGGGTTTGGCAGTGGAAAGGTGCAGCTGGCAGTTTCATTGTGGTATATGTTATCTGAAGACAGCATTCTCCTATTTTCATTTGTTCTATAAAGTTCTTCTGATACAAATATTGACTATGTGCATTAGGAGCACGTATGTCACAGAGGCCTTGCTCCTAGGGGGAATATTGCCAGCTATAGCAATGAAAATATTAGATGTTGTTAATCTTAGATGTTCCTATTTTAAGGTACGTACTCCATAAAAGAATGGCTTTTCTTATCATAGAAGCACTGTGAATTTTAGCATATTGTATAGCAACCTTTTAAAATTGGACAGGATTGCTGAGCTGAAGTAAAAACAGAAGAAGAACTTAGGTCTAGATTTTTGGAGGTGGTTATGTGCCAGCTCCAGTTTTCATGGGATTTAGATGTTTGATGTCCCTGAGAATCAAGACTCTAGTTTTCAGTGAAAGATTTAATGGACAGCTCTACAGGTTGGATCAGACTGGAGTCTGGTCGCAATAGTGGGACAAAAATATGAAAAGTTGCCTGTCAGTTGCTACTGCAGGAATTCATCTTGTATGCTCTTGTATAAATTCAAAGAAGGTCTAAACAGCAAGATAGCCTTCTTAGCAAAGTATTATACATATTTTCATATTTTGTAAGTGCTTAATTTTCCTCACAGTCAGACTGTGCAGAAATGAGGAAAGATCAAGGGTTAAGTACTTAGCTCCATTTTGGCCTGTATGTTCTGTAATATATATATATATATAATATATATTCTGTAATGGACACAGAAATGTGTCTCTGAAAATATGCAGTAATATTTGCTAATTTTATAGGTTTTGATGTGTCTCTATTTAATAGTCTTCTGGTATATGTTTTTCTTGATAAGTTTTGAAGACATACTCTTAAGGATGTTTTTATTTTTACCTATATTTGATGTCCCCTTTAAGGTTTTGTGAAACAGTTCTCTAGTTAGTCCCAACTCATGACCTTAGAATGAAGAATGAAGCAGAAGGTCCTATATTTACTTCGAACACATATATTAAATATGTACATATTTTAAAAACAGTTTAGAAAATAATACCTATGTAAATCTTACGTAGAGAAATGAGCAAAATTAAGCATAACTTTTACTTTTTCTGATGACATATGTTATGCATGAGAATTAGCCTTGAAGGCAAAGCCTTGCTTTGCATACAGTTCATTATCTGGTTTGGGTGAAATTTAGTAATAATAACTGGGTACTATCAGAATTTTAAACAATTTTAAGATTGCTCTTGTTATCCTTGAGAGGTTTGTGCAGACTTGCTGTATTTATATATTCTGTATGTCTGTGTTTCTTGTTTAGGATGTAGATGAAGAAATTGAAGCAGAGTATAATATTTTGCAGTTTCTTCCCAATCATCCTAATGTTGTTAAATTTTATGGGATGTTTTACAAAGCAGATCAGTATGTGGGAGGACAGCTCTGGCTAGTACTTGAGGTAAAAACATTTTGGTAATATTACATCTTAACTAGGAAATGTAGGTGGGTCTCTGCTGTATAGTGCCAGAAGAGTCATAGACTGTCATGATTCTTTGATTGCTGTCATTAATCAAAGAACTTGTGACAGGTGATGTGTGGCAGTCCACTGCTGAAAATGCCTGAAGCTTTTCCAGCTTATCAGAAATGAAATGCAAGGGCATTTCCTATTTATTACTTTCTGCCTCCAAAAAGCAATGAAACCTTTTGATTAAAACAGTTTGTCTGCAAGCAGCTTGATTTTTCCGTGTCGGAGAACATATAATTAAAACATTTCCCTGAAATTTTGAAGATGGTAATCTTTTGAGATCCCTCAATCTTTTGGGATCGAAAAAACCCAGGACATGTAGCACAGAGGACAGTTACCAAACATGCTGCCTTTACAAAGCGAACAGAGAAAATAAAACAGAAAAATATTTGATGGTAATTCCAAACATGAAGCAGATTGCTCTTGGAAAGCTAACATGAGATGCCTTCTAACAATTCTTCTTGTTTAGCAGCATCCAGAGTTCTTGCAGTGAAAAGTTTCATTTTGACTGTCTTTTTTGCCCCTTAATTGACTTCCAAAGCTTGTTTTAAGGTGAGATTTCCTCTGAATGTATTTTCTGGACTTAATTGATACAAAGCTCTGCAAAGAGTTATGAGCAGCAGCAGACCATTCAGACATTTCCCTTGGTCACAACTGCTTCAATAAAAGCTACTGTTCACTTTTTAATTACTGTTTTAGAAGTATCCCTCGCTATTCTTGAATGGTGCCTGGAATCAGAATAGGGAATCACCATCTCCTTTTCCACTTTAAGTCCATTTCCTTTTCCACTTTAAGTCATAGAATTCTGACAGCACATCTCACTAGTACACACTGCAGAATTATTTTTGTTTGAAGGAAAATATTTAGATATGTGTCTTTTCTAAAAAGGAGATATAAGGGATTTTTGCCTTGGTTTAAAAAAAAAAAAGTATGCCTATTTTCTGGCTTTTTATTGAATTATGTGCTTGATTTCCCATATGCTTTGTTTTTTATTGCAAGTGTAACATGTTGGACTGATGAATCACACATGCTTTTCTGTACAACATAAATTTATATAGGAAAATTGTGCAGTATGCAATGCAAGAAAATTGATGAATGTACAATTTAAGGGGGTTAGATCTTTATACACACTTTATCAGTTACCACAGCATGTTGATGTCAGGTGTTGTTTTTGGTGCCTAATATCAAGAAAAAAAGCAAAGAAACTTGACATTCAGAAATTTAGGTTTTTTATATAATGTAATTTTATGTAATTTGTAAGGATATAAAGATAATTTTGCCAAGAAATGTCAGCTGTTTCATGTCTTAGAATTTAGGGATTTATGTGGGCAGAAGCAGTCACTTAAAATATTTTTGCTGGTGCAATTTCATACATGGAGAATTTTGAAGATAAGCATTTGCATTTCATGGATAGACGTAACAGAAACTACTGCAAAGCAGACTCACTACTTTTCCATTGAAACATGCACCACACTTAATTATACTAGGAGACAGAAAGTGGTAATGAAATTTGAGAGTTCATTTTATCCCAAATCTTTGCTGACTGTTGACAACAGAATTACTGCCAGCCGCAGTAATAGTGTTTGTGCGGTTTATTTATTATCAAATACAGCATTTCATTGCACATGCTCTGCAAAACAACTGTCTGTATAATTTTCAGTCACAATGACTTTTTTTTTTTTTTTTTTTTTAAGTGCTGACCTACTTTTTCTAAATTCTGTGGGGAAGGAAGTAGTGGAAATAAGATTAGCACAACCTGTCTCAGTAGAACACAGTGCAATGAAAGTAATAAACAAAGATTCTTGACTTAATCGTTCTTCAGCAAATGGCTAAACTTGGGAAGAAAAATGTGTACTTCTCTCTCCAGAAGATGAAATTTTCCTGTATTTGGTGTTCAGTGCTGGTTTCAGTACTGGAATGCTACCACATAGTCAGATTTTTAAAATATCCCTGCAAAAGAATTATTAAAAAGGAAAGTCATAATCATGCAGGAATTACTAGTGCCAATGAAATTGTCAATGAAATTTTGCTTTAGAATCTTATGGATTTCTTGTGTATTGTGTGATCTAGTTCTTTCCATGAACTAAAACTATCAGACAAATAAAAATTTTTGATGCAAGGGTATTTAGGAATGAATGAGAGAAAGTTCATACCACATATCACAGAAATTGCAGTGTTGCAGCTTATAGACAGTTGGTAAAGTTCATCTATGAAATGCGAAACTCAAAGCATTTACAGAACTTCTGGTTTTATATCCTTCTCTTGATTTATGTTGTAGAACTTTATGCTTAATACAGACCATGTAAAATGAACTCATGTTGAGGATGTGATTTTTGTATGGTGGAAAAGTTAGTTAAGGGAGCATGGTACAGAAATGTATCAGTGTTTCAATTCAGTGAAAGGAATATTCAGAGAAATTTGATGAAAGAAATTTTTCCATCATTTTGCTGACAAGCAATTGTAAATTTTAAAGTAAGAAATGATTGAGGAAAAAAAGGGAAGAGGAACTGCTGCTAAAAAGAGATAACCAGTGAACTAAAGAAGTGGGTGAAAACTTACATACTGAGATTGTAATTCTAATTTTTCTCCTTCTCTTCCCTTGAGGTATTGCAGCCTGCTAGTGGAAAATGCTTACAAGAAACTGCTTTTCTGGATCAGAATTGTATCTCAATTATTGGCAGTGTATGCCATCAAGTCTAAGTGTAGAGATATGGCTTCTCTCTATTTTATATTGCCTGCCAGCAGAAGCATTGATGGAGCAAAAGTTTGAAATGGTTGTAGTTTGTTGCCTCTCAGTTATCAAGAGCATCAATCTTGTCTTTCTGACCTTTTCTTTGCACAAAGCTAGTTTCTCAAAAAGACAATGCACATAATATTTGTGAAAATACTCAAGTTAAATTGGACTTGCAAATCCTCTTACAGTAACAAGATGTTAAGATATTTTGATTTTTAGTTTCATTTTAAAAGTTACATTTTATCATCTTCAGTTTCAGCTTCCTCCCCACACTCAAAACACTGTGATTTGTTACCAACATTGCCGCTCAAATGCATTCTATGGCAGGAAGGACAATTTAACTAATTGCAGGTAAAAGTCAGGTTGTTCACAGACTTGTATTTTAGGGTGGCTTTGAACTGTGCACGTTCACAGTCAAACAAGCATGTTGAGTAACTGAGATCTTGTCCTGCTTCTTCACCCCTCTTCACAGCTGTGCAACGGAGGTTCTGTCACGGAGCTCGTCAAAGGGCTGCTGAAGTGTGGCCAGCGGCTGGATGAGGCTGTAATCTCATACATCCTGTATGGTGCTCTCCTGGTAAGGATGTTCACTGGGCTTGTGCAACAGCAGAGGGTGCAATTTACTGTCATACATACATTTTCCTTTTAAAAAATATGGTCATGTTGAAAAAGTTGTGACTGTTGTAACAGTTGTAGCAAGCATGTAATCCAGTGGACATTCTTTAAAGTATTGTCTTCATTACAGTCCCTAATATTAAGGTAATTATTTTTAAATAAGGGAGTAAACTTTTTTTTTTCTCTCCTGGCATATAGGGCCTTCAACATTTACACAATAACCGGATCATTCATCGTGATGTCAAAGGGAACAACATTCTCCTGACAACAGAAGGTGGAATCAAGCTAGTTGACTTTGGTAATGACTGCTTCCCATTTGTTTTCTTCATATATGCAGTTTAGCCAAAGGCATCTGTTTACTTTTCTTTGGGAAGGCAGAATGACACAGTGAAGAGATTTCCAGGAAAATACTCAAGATTAATTTAGGAAGAGATGGGGAAAAGAAACCTGATACAGCAATAGTAAACAATTCTAGCCAAAATTCATTTATAGACTTTTAACTTAAAAAATTAAGTATAGTAATTTAGTGACATAAAATATTTTCAGAGGTGCCGTTTTATATGCAAAGCTCTTTTGCACTTCACAAGGAATGCTAGTTCCTGGGCAGTTGTCCTTCTAATTTAAATTTAAATGTTCGATCTTTTGCATATGAAAAGGAATCATTCTTCTCTCTCAAATGACTTTTTACTAGCCTGAAGCAAGTTCATTCCCTCTGAGCAGAAGGCAAAATGGTCCCCTGGGTTCAAAAGCCAACATCCATTTAATTTGTGATTATTGCTGTTAAATACAGAGGTGACTACTCAGGAAGCATTGGTAAGAAACAGAAGAAGGATAGATACACAGAAAGAAGTGGAGTTGGCAATAGAATTGGATTCAGATGAACATTTCCCTCTCTGTGCTCAAAGAAATAAGGAGATGATCTAGTCCCTCAGATGACTATGTAGTAGAATGAATAATTTTATTAATGGTAACAGGAAAAAAAGTCTAGTAGTGTGTGATTTTTTTAGTGAAACCATGTAATGCATCAGGTAATCATCAGTGAAAATGGTATTGTGTGAATAACAGTTGTTTGCTTAACAAGGCATGAAGGTAAAGAAAAACATTTACAAAATGAGACTAGCATAAAACTGAATGCTAGAAATCCTGCAAAGAGTTACATTACAAACATTTCCAAGAGCATGAAGTACATGCAGTGTAAAACAAATTTTCCCTGACAATAATCCCGACAATGTCAGAGTATTACAAGTTTAACGAAAAAATATCTGCTGAAGGTTATAAAGTAAGTTAGGAAGCGAGTGTCTCTAGTATCTTCCAGGATCAGAAATCCTTTATGTTGAATGGTAGAGAAAACAATTGAAACAGTGCTGAGTGAAAGATGTGGCCCTCGAGGAAAACTTACAGTGAGTCTCTGGGCTAGGAGGAGGAAAATAATCACCTTTTTGGGGGAGTGCTTTACCAGTGTGATCTGCATTTGTAATTACGCTCTTCTGGGCAAGATGGGTTTTTCTTTTCAAATGGGAGGAATAAAAAATCTTATCCGGTGTATCAAAAAGATTATCTGCAGCTGAGGCTCTGTTTTGGAGCTGTTGGCTTTGCTGCACATTGAAAACAAGTGGCATGTTCTAGGAACCTGAGAATTGCAACATCCTGTTGTCTTGTAGGAAGATATTAATGGAGATTTCTGTTTCTTTTTCTTTTTCCTCCGGTATTAAACTAAAACAATAACTCTAGAAATTTGTAAAAGATACAGTTAGCTCCCAAAGGGCATGAGCTAACTGCTTAGCAGTAAGGAAGTGGCAGGAAATGCAGGTATCCGTGATCTTCCCTGAAGAAGGATCGTGACTACATGTTCTCATTGCGTTGCTGCTTCTCCCTGCAGCTCCCTGCCTTAGTCACAGAGAGGGCCATGGGAAAGAGGTAGGACTGAGTCACAAATGAAATTGTTGTCTGTAGAGCTGTTTTTCTCATTTGTAGGATATTTCTCATTTGAACATGTTTCTCATGTTGTTTTCTTATTGTCAGAAATTATAGAATGTGCTGTGAGAGATGCAAGTAGTTCAGGAAGAGAAAGGTCTCAAGTGAGTGATATAAAATTGAAGTCTGTTCTTGCTCTGCCACACATGATGTTGGCAAGTAACTTGTATCATACTTTCGGAAGTAGCCACACTGTACTCCTCATTTTCCTGGTATCTCGTGTGAAACACCTTTTCCTCCTTTGCAGAAGAGCTAAGTACTCTTGAACTGGAGCTGAGAACTGTTATAGCTCTGCCTCAAGTATGGGGAGTGCCTGCAAATGGAAAGATCTCAGTTTGAGTACCCCAAAACACTAGATGCCTTTAATAATGTTAAGTTAATCTCTCAGGTTGATTATCCTCTCCTGTTTCACAAGAATGTTAAGGAGATTTATTGTTTGATACAGAGGGAAGGAAACAGGTGAAAGGAAAGGAATATAAGATTTTTCATTTTGTATAAGATTCAGTATAGTAAATAACGGACTGAAACTCAATTTGATGGATATAGTAGCTACCCATTCAGTGAGCACTGTCTGTTCTGTGCCTAGAGTGAGGCAGAATCTTGTGGTTAAAATAATTAATTAATTAATTAAGAGACCTGCGGGTAACTGCAGGTAACTGTGGGTTGTACGCATGGCTTTGGCCACAGATAGCATTACATGGACATCATGAATTGGGATGTTTCTTTACCTTTATTTCATGACTTTGCACTTTGGCTTTTCACTGTAATACATATTTCCTCACTGAGCTGCTCTCAGCAGCATAGTGTAGTACTTCACTGGTCACTATATTGGTCACTTCAGTAAGTATTGCTCATGGGCTAAGCTGACCTGAAGTATCTGCACTTCCCACTGATGGATGCTCTCGGGCGCTCCCTCGCGCTTCTCCACTCTTCGCTATTCCATGGCATTTTGGAGCGTTCCTAGAGAGCAGCTACAAATCCGGCTGGCTGAAGAGAACCCGGACTTCAATGCGCAGAGGCTTGCTGGGGTTTGCAGCCCTTAGCTCTTTCACAGTGGTGACCTGGAAGGGACTGAAGGGTTGCAATCATACTGAAGTGAAAAATAAATACAGTATTGAATCTTGAAGCAAGCAACTTAATTATTTGATTAAGTAGAGATTAGAATTGAGTCCCAATTTCTTGTTTATCAGCAGCAAACACAATTCTTTTATGTGTTTCTACATGTTTTTTCTTTGTCTGTGTGTAATACCATAGGAACAGACCACTGAGTTGTGGGATTTTTTTGTCTGTTTTGTTTAAAAAAAAAAAAAGAAAAAAAAAGAAAAAAGAAGTGTTCACATGAATTATTTTTAAGTCCCTATTGGTTTTATGTCAGCTATTTGGAATTCTCCTGAACCGCACAATTCAGTTATATTTTGGCCAAGAAAAGAGAAAAGATCTATTGTGGAATTTCATTCTGATCTGTTATTATTGTTTGATTTCACTCCATTTCCTTCCTTCCTTTTTTAGCTAGCCCCAACCAGAACTGAAGCATAGGCTTTGTTTTAAGCCTGTGCTTAATTCTTTAAGTAGAAGCTTCAGCATAAGCTTAAGCTTGTGCTTTTTCTTCATAGGGAGAGATTTAAGCCAGTGCATAATTGTTTTGCTGAACTAGAATACTCTGCAAATACTCCAGTGATCCAAGATTCCTGCCAGCAGTGTTCAGGGAATGAATTTCATCTGGACTTTGGTCGATTTTTCTGGAATAGAAGTTTTAAAATCATTTTGTGTGTAGGACGGTTCTGGTCTGTATTCATGAAAACAGCAGAAAGACACGTCTCTGTAATTTAGTTTGCAAGTTAAGTGTTTTGAATTTGAATGAAAGTGCTTCTTACTGAGAGTCATTCACAAAAAAAAGCAATTCTGAAAGGAAACAGCAAGCTGTGATCTGCCTGGGACAAGCTATGATTAAAGTGAAAAATGAAATTAATCAAGTAAGTAATTCAGTACAAATCATGCAACTACTTTGGTCAGGCATTCTACAGCTGTGCAGGCTTGGGGGTTGTTTTCTGGGCACTTGAAATAAACTGCCTAAAATGACATAATGGCTTTGAAGCCAAGTTTGGATCTGTTTTATTGTAGGTGTTTCAGCCCAGCTCACAAGCACACGGCTACGTAGAAACACCTCAGTGGGAACGCCCTTTTGGATGGCACCAGAGGTAGGCAAACATTTTTCATAACCCAATTTCTGTTGTCTCTATCCATTGCAGTGCACACTTTGTTGCCAGTTCCACATAGTCTGAAAAAAAATTATTTTCTATATGGCTGTATTTTTACTTCCCTCTACATCTACAGCTGAGTAAGATAAACGTACTGTAAGAATATTCCAAATGGATTCTTTTAATAGTAATTGTCCATGTTAGCTTCTCTAATTTTTCCAGAAAAATTTAGATCTATAAATAACCAAGGATTTCCTTGAAGATTTTGTGGCTTTCCAGTCAAATACTATATTTTATCTCTGTGTAATTCTATAAAACGCTTTCTCAGGTGAAGAGTTTCAATATGATATATTAAGGAAAGCCTTTCACAAAATTCTGAGGTTTATAGTAGGTAGGGCTCTGCAGTTGAAACCTTAACATGGTAGTTTTGGTGGGGTGACTAAATCTGTGTATATTGCTTTCCCCAAACATAACCATTTTTCTTCCATTCCATGAAGTTTAGAAAGCTTTTGCACACTGTTAAAGCTCTGCATGTGCTATTCTTAAATTTGCATTGGAAAACATTAGTCTTGACCCTTTCCCTTTTAAAAAGCAACAAATATTTTCTTAAGGTGTAATTTATAAAATTAAAAACTAGGGAATGAATTGGGATTTTCTGTTTCTTTGTAAATTATTAAAGCCAAATAACGATAGTTCCCTTCAACAGAAACGAGGTATTAGATTCATTTCATTGGAATTTTGGGATAGATCTTGCAGTTTGTGTTTATTATACACCCACAAATCTTTCAGTATGGCAAAGAGTTTATAGTATCATACAAACATTTGTTGCTTTTCAAATATTTTACATTGCGATCTGCTCCTCTTTCTCTTTCTAAGGAAGATTATAGCTAAGGATTACAGCTGAGACAGAGAAATGAAGCTGCTGTAACAGATCCAAAATTGAGCTCATACAGTTTCACAAAGAATAGGTGATATTTTACCATCTCCATAACAACCAGTTTACGTCACAAAGGAGACACAAGATCCCTTAGTATCTACTGTGTAACCATTATTTATTAAATCACCTTGCTTGGAGACATTCAGAAGCCTACATAAAAAGTAGGCTCAGTTAGACAGTAATGGGTATTTTCTCAAATATTTTATTAAACTCAATTTATAAAACTTATTTTTACAGTACTGTTTTTCTTGAACAATTGTAATCAAAAGCAATAATCATACCAAATTTATTACTCATCCTGCTTGAAAATAGTCATTCTTAAAGTGCAGAACCACAGCGATACTTTGAGATAATTTAAATCTGAAAATAGCACACACCTATAACCAAGTTATGTTATGAGCTTTTGGCACATCAGAAGAAATATGAGAATACTCTTAAGCACTACAAGTTTTGGGAAGTTTTTATGAAGTATGAAGCCAATACCATAATCACAGTAACTCATATCACATTTGTATGCCTGTGTGAGCCACGCTGCTCAGGCTTGATGGATCTACTGATGTGCAGAACAGCTGCAAGGTGCTTGGTACCCATTGTGCTGAACTGGCTTTTGAATGACAAGTTGTATAACACTTCAGCTTAAGTCATTACAGTTGCTTTCTTTGTGTTCATGTGAATGACATATTTCAACTGACATGTGAGATGTAGTTTGCTTTGCTTTTGGGAAGGCCTGTTCGGTATGTTTAAAATATGCAGGTGAATTCTTATGTGAAAGATGAAAGATAAGGACTGCAATAAACTGAAAAACCCTGTCTGGATAGCAGCTTCTCTAAGAACAGTGATTTTTGAGTGAGACTGTGGTAGAATCAGTAAAGGCTAGAAAAGCCCTACACAGTCGCAGAAGTCTTGTTGCCTGAAGGTTTTATAGCAGGGCATAATTTGTATAGAAGCAAAAAACCCCAAAACTTAAGTAAGTGGGCAAGAAGGAAATAAAGAAAGATGAGCTTAATCTGCAGTGGAATAGAGAGGGCAGATGAAAAGCCAGACTTACAGGAAAAGACTACAGGAATGTTTTAGTGAAATGAACCTTATAGAATGAAGCTGATGGGCAATATGATTGCTGTCTAGAAATACATTATAGGTAAACCCCAGAAAAGACAAAATCTAGAGGAGGATGGAAAAATTATTCAAGCTAGCAGCTGTGAGTAACTCAATATTGCAGGGCACAAATATGCTGGAAACTAGAACCACTAGATCATCCTGAACTGGAAACAGTCTGCATAATGAGGAAAATAAGCATATTTTAAAGATGAAACTTCCAAAATACATGAAAGGAATTATATGGCATTGTACTTGCAATAGAAAGGATCAGAGGAAATAGCAGTGACTCAGGGTGGTATAAGGTCTGCTATTCAGCTCCATGCTTGCTGGCCAGTGTGAAAAGCTTAACAATGTTGAGTGACAGGGACATCCTAGTAGGCTTTTTTTTCTTTCTTCCCCTCTCCTGAAGACTAAGAGCTTCAAATAGCAGCAGCAGGACAAATTTTGTCCTTGAGCATTTGTTTTGAGCAGGGCATGGGATTAACTGAAATGTGCTGAAAAATGAAAATGCAAGGGGAAAGCTAGGCTTTGTTGAAGCAACTGAAGAACTCGTGACTTTTTATATTTAAGTCTAGCTGAGTAAGTACAGCAGATATGTTCCCCTAAAACCATATAGTACATGCCCCTTATCCCCACATGTCTACCAACCTTATTTACCAACCCTTTTCTTACTCAAGAGACTGAAGATCAGCTTCATGTTAATAGCTTTAGGTCTCTTAATTCCTTATTAGCTAGAATTAGTTCTTCTGATATTCACATTTTCATTTTGCCTTTAGATACAAACTAAGTATGGAATTTCTGTAAATGTTGATTTGTAATGAACTGTAGGAATCAGCAGCTTTGGTAGTATAAATAGGGTACACTTCAGGAATATATATCCACATATATATTGGGAGAGAAGCTCAGTACGCTGGCAATTACATTGATAACATAGACATAATCTTGTAAGAACACAGATGCTGCTGATTTGTTTTTCTAGCTGAAGCAGCAGCTATGCAGGGCTTGTCAAACTTTTGTGTGGTGTGTAGTGCAAAGAAAAGAGAAGCAGAGAAGCAAAGGAAAAAGAAACAGAAATGTTGCACTACCTCCATGCCTTGAACCTAGGGATCTGTATTAGGTGAGTTTATGTAAGAGGCTGGGGTTGCCTCTATATTTTCTGTTTTCCCCTTATAAAGAACCATTTATAAATGTGTATGAGATGTGAAGTGCTTATATTTACTGCTGATGAATAAACCTGTGGGTCACAAATGAAACACGTCAATTATGGTAATACTAGTAGTGTTGAAGACATGGCAGTCTCATGGAATAAAGCAAAATAGATTTATAAATTTTCTCACTGTATCAATTGGTTAAATAAGAGGTACAAGATACTCTTTAAGCATTGTCTGCTGCCAGAGCAGTTTAATGGTCTCAGGGCTATTTCACTTTGGTGAGTTGAGAAAAAAAAAATCTTGCAGCTGTCAAAGCACAATCACTTACTAAATTTTTAAAATATTCAATACTTGTATTAGTAGTATTTGTAACAATATCATTCTCTGATACACCATAGAAAGATTTTTTTAATTCATTTTATTTATGACCATATTTAAGATGATCATAAATAAGGAACTGAACTACAAATAAGAAAAATGGGAATATGGAGCCGATATCAGCCGCAAGAGAGAGACAGAGAGGTGTGGATGGAGAAAATCCATTTGCTCTGGATAGTTCAGTATCCCCCAGTGCTGCTAAATGCTGTATTGAAAGATTATATTTTTCTTTCTTTTTTAACTGTATAGGGCTTTTGAGAATATTCAAATTTATTTTTAGCACCTTAAATAAATAGTTCATCATGTTCCAGTGGGCCACAGAAGTTCAGTTGGTTTATTTTGTTTCACTTGCACAGTTAGCAGTTTTGTGCTCCTTGCAGCAGGGGTGAGAGTTTTGTGGCACGTTCGTTTTCGTGCAGAGCGCTTTGCGTGCAGCCGGTTGCTCATAGGCCTCGCAGGCTGCCCTGGCAGCCACAGCAGCGGGGCCGCACACCGCCTTCTGCAGGAGCACCAGCCCCTTCCTGCGGCCGGGTCAGCTGCTAAATGTGCAGCAGTTGTCTCCAAGTAGCACATCTGTACTGCTGTACTCTGCCCGCTGTACTGTATGTGCCTACAGATACACTGAATGTATGTACTGATGCAAAATGATCAGATATATTGACTTAATTCCATGTAAATTTCAGGTTTGATGTATTTTGGCTGTATAGTTACCGTATGTGTAATTACTGTCTGCCCCCAGATCGGTTATGACCACAGTACAGTTCACAGCTAGTTCTTCCTATTATCTGTGTTCCCTCTCTTATATCCACCAGTCATCTATTTATCAGCTTGCCAAAGTTCAAAGGAGACATAACCACTCTGTGTAAGCTACCATGCCAAAGTGAAAGACACTTACATGGCATTTAGAGATCATTCTCAAGGTCAGCTACATCATCACCTGAAGCTTTGGGATGAATGTAGTGTTTGGCAGCTCCAGCAAAGCAAACTTCATCTTTTTTTTTTTTTTGCTTGTACTAGTGTAGGAGGATTTTGCTGTGTATAAAACGGATACAAATTTTATCATGACTTTACCTGAGGTAGAGAAAGGAAGTAGTACGGTCTGTAGTTTCAGACCATTTCCCCTGGCATCTCCGCTTTCATGCCCCACTGGGATGAACAGGAAGCCAGTGCCTCAGAATCTAATGTGCACTCTCAGCTACAGAACTCCGAGAGACAAGGGCAGATGTTTTCAAACACTTAAGTAGCTCCTGAGTTCCCTGCAGGGATAGTAACGATAACTCAGTGGGATTTTCCCTTTCCTGTTTTAGAGAGTTTTGCTCTGCAGAGAGTTGCGTTGATTTTTAAGGCAGAACTCTGACATTCTTCACGCCTTAGGTTAAACTGTGACTGAGAACTGTTTGCTGCTTTGCTCACCGATATAAAGCAAAGTGCCCACGTGCCTTTTTCATCAAGAAAAAGCTATAACATCAGTTTCTTGCTTTAAAAGTTAAAACTGCTGCACTTGTGTTTCTGTAAGTAGCTGAGTGGAACATAAAATAGGAAGAGTCTAATAAATTCCACAGAAAGCTGAAAATTCTTTTCAAGCTAAGTGATCACTAAATCCATATACATACTGCATGTTATTGTCAAACTGCTGTTCATTTGCACGTTTTCTGTGAGACTGATGTCGCTGCAGGCGAGTGAACTGTCTGAAACACACTTGGTTGCATGTTTCACCAGCTTGAATTTTGGAAACAGAAGTAATGCAGAGTAAGAGGAGTATTTTACTCATTTTCAGGCTCTCATGTTAGAATGAGGGAGAATCTCATAGTGTTTAATGCTGTTTGGTTAGTGTCTATATTTTTGATGGTGTCATTTTACTAGCATGTGCCATTTTCAGTGGAGGTGCAACTGTTGGCTGTAAAGTGGGGAGCATGTAAAGATATTTGTACATTCCTTCCTCCTTGATCTGTAAGTAATACACTATCTGTGAAACAGAAAAGCTTGGACTCTTTAGTGTTTTTTTTTTTTTTTTTTAATTAAGCAGCAGTGCCAGTATCCCTTCTCTGCACCATCCATCACAATTGTAAGGCCCTGTGACACTGACTTTGGCTTGGCTTGCAAATAAGCTCTCGAAGAATACTGAGATACTTAGCAAGTTTTACCGTTGTATTTTGGGTCTACAAAAGCAGGCCTGTAGTGTGCCGTGCTTATGAAGGAAGAGCTGGTGGTGTCTTTGAATGCAAGAGACCACAGTTCTGTTCCTGGCAGTGCCAGGGATGTCCACTGTGACCTTGAGAATGAGCTTTTTTTCCTTCCCTGGAAAACAAAAATATATTTCTCTGCCTCATAAAGTTTGAGGACAAATAACAAAGTATTTGTGAAGGACTCAGCACAATGTTGAGAACCAATCAAGTTTTGAGATGGTCCCTTTCAGGAAATGGGCTCTAGTGGTATTTCAAACAAGCAGATAAATATCTTTGATGATGAAAAAAAGGGAAAGAGAATAATAATTTTAATTAGTCACATATGAATAAGCTCCTTGCAACTTCTTCTGAGTCATGGCCTTGGAAGCTGACTTGCATATTTTAAAATTTTATTTATTTATTTATTAAGAAATGTCCTTGAGAATACAGGTGATTTGGGGAACTGTATAAATAAACATAATAAAGAAATATAAGCTTCCTTTTCCATCTCTGAGCAAAGCTTCAGTTAATAATTATGAAGAGAAAAGGGAACATCAGTCCAAACTGTGCAGCCTCTTCAAAATGAAATATTTGAGCATGGATCTGCACACTGACTTTTATATGTTATCCCAGCAAATGTAAGTTCTAGTTCTTCTCTTTAAGTCATGGTAAAAGGAAATGAAATTGTCATTCAGACCTGCATCTAGACAAGGATGTCTGTTTGAATTGCATAGAACCTGACTGCTGCATTGTGAAACCAGCCCTTGTGAGGGACAAAGGGGTCTCTGGGATGATAGAGTATAATGAGCTCAGGAACTAAGAAACATCTCCGAGCTTTCATTCAAGACATTCTATTGAGAAGAAATTAGATAGGGAAATAATCCTCCTGTCAGTGATGAAAAGCACTCTGTTTAAATTGATGATCTGCCCCCCTCCCCACTGTCATCCCAAGACATCCTGTGCAGTCTTAACATCCTATCTGATGGGTAAGTGTAGAGGAGCGTAAATGTTTGTTTTTCTCGGATGGTTTGCAACCATGATGCTGTCACCGATGTTCCTGAGGTAATCGTTGAGAAATACTGGTCCAAAACTCTGTGAGAAGGCTCTTTGACATTACTGCAATAAAGAGGGAAATACCATTGTCAGTAGAGCATGAGGAGAAATTTCTTTGGCCTGCTAACATGTTAAAATTGAGAAGGAAGAGCTATTTGTATATTCAAAGAAATACTGCCTTTAACTTCATTTTTATTCAGAAAAGGGACAGGATGTGTAGATGAAGATTTTTTTTTAACTCCTCAAATCTAGCATAGACAGCCTAAAAAAATAGTAGAAATGAGTGATGGAATATGCTTGTCTGAAAAACAGCCAGAAGTGAATAAGAACAACATCAGTAAGATTCTTTGCTCTTATTGTAGGTTTCTCTATGAATTGCTTTTAAAAACAGGATTTGGTAGAGTGTTGTTCTTCCTGTAGAACATTTTAAACCTCCCATAGATCTCAATATTAAAAAAAAAAANAAAAAAAAAAAAAGGAAGGGAATGATAAGGAAAACAAACATAAGAGAAGCTCTAATTTACTGTTATGTTACATGGGATTTTTCCCACTTGAGAAATACAGGCAGTGATATGAATGTGAAAGCTGCTTAGGCTCTAGATGTGACTCATGAAAGTACTTTTCTGTTGCATTAGGATGGCATGAGTTGTTCATCAAGTTAATACTTTTTTTTCTCTTTTCTTATGATAGGTCATTGCTTGTGAACAACAGTATGACTACTCCTATGATGCTCGGTGTGACGTATGGTCCCTGGGAATAACAGCTATTGAACTGGGGGATGGAGACCCTCCTTTATTTGACATGCATCCTGTAAAAACGCTTTTTAAAATTCCGAGGTATGGCACTAGATGGCTCTCTTGACTCGCTAGTTTGTTCAAAGTAATCAAGGCAGAAGTAAAAGAAATATTTGGTAAACATTTTTCTTCAAATCCTGAAAATCTCTCATTGGAAAATGCATTTAAAAAGTGTAATGTTGCATCTTAGTTTCTGCAATAATTTATGCTTAGGACCACTTGAAATGATAAGTAATTACATATTTATTTTATTCTTATCTTAGAATATAAATCTATATAATGTCCAGGTATCTTCCTTCTATGAGTAGTAGTATCTTAGCAACTATTGATACAAACATTTCTTTCAAAAGAGGAAGAAACCAACATTTGAAACTGTAGAGTAAGGTTTTAAAAAGGTATCCTCCTAGAGCCTTGGGCTTGTTTTACTGAAGACGAAAAACACAGAATTTTGATAGTGCTGTAAAGCGCTCTGTCAGTTGTAGCAATCTATATTCATTATCTTTTACTTACCAAGAACGTTAAGTTTTAGATCTTCATACATAGAAACAAAAAAGGAAAATTCCCACCATGTGTATTCATGGGGATTAGCTATACTATGTAGTCTATTTTCAGTTTCATTTTGTCTTCATTTCATTTTCATTGCTTATTCTTTTGAACATGTTAAGATTAGATTGACAGGCTAAAATAGGCTTTAGCGGTAGAAAAATTGCAATAGTAAGAGAAATATATCAAAAAATTGTCCAATATGGGTTATAGTCTAGCATATACTTGGCTCTTCCACAGTGTGCTTGCTAGTACAGAAAGAATCGTCACTGTTTAAAAGCTTCAGCGATGCAAGTGTTTGACCTTTTGTTATCTGCACGGTTATCACAGGCTTTTAAAATTTCTTCTGATTGCAATTTGCATTTCTGATTAGGTCTATTTATATGCAGATGTGGTTGTGCTGGGTTCTGCGTCATATAGTTATCTCCTACCCAGCCTAGACATGAATTGCCACCACTATTTCCAAAATTATTCGTACTGAAGCAGCAGTTTCTCACGTTTCTTTTGCACAAATATAAAGCAGGTCCCTTTCTCTGCATCGTGTACTTGATCCAAAGTTTGTTGCTGGTGTTTGGCCTTGTGCGTATACCCATGCTCTGGTTCCTGATGGAGACATACGGCAGTCAGTTTCTTCATAGCAGCTCTTCTTTCATCTGTGATTTCTTGTGATTTGAGATGAAAATGGCCAATCAGTTTCAATTATTGGCAAATGTACTAAATGTTCCAATACAAAGCAACACCAAACTGTGTTGCACTTTTACAGTCAGGCTGTATCCTATATTCGAGCTTTGTTTTGTCTGGAAATAAAATACAGAAGGGTCTGAACTGGAACTAAAATGCTTTTTTTTTTCATTCTTGGTCATTGCTCTGAGGTTCCTAGCTCTGTATTTTCATTGCTATTTTTCTTTAATAGTCCTCACATCCCTGTCCTTTAGCTTTGCTGTAGGGAGATTCAGATACCTCAGTCTCTGACCAGTCTCCTATTTGCTGAAAGTCTTTCATTTGATTGAAGATGTCCTTAACAGGACATTGTAGATAACAAGGCCTCAGTCATTCTTCTTTCTCTCACTCGCTCACTCTCTGTTTCCTCAACCTAAGCAGCAACTGTCTTGTCTGATTGCTTTGCCTTTCTAAAAAAAGAACATGACTTGTGCTTTATTTGCACAGTTCTTCTCTCTCCCTCCCCTCTCCCCCATCCTCTTCAGGGTAAAGATTTTATTGCAAGGATTCTAATGAAAGGCCCGGAAATGCGTCTGTTAGAGAAACAGCATTACTCGAAGGACTGCAAACAGATGTGTTACTCCTGTCCTCCATTTTTTCAGTGTGTCTTAAGCTGTAACTGAGCTACCTACAGTACAAAATGGGTGATGTATGTGCATTGCTGAAAACATGGTTGATTCTTGGACAGAGTTAGACAGAAATAAACTGTTTCTCATATGAGGATTTTAAACTTGCTGCTACCAGATGGCTCTGGGTGAACAGAACAATGAAAATGTTTTTTTTTGGCTAAGTCCAACATGTAAAGTGTCATTAGAGATTAAACTTGTCTTAACAAAGTGTCCAAATTTCAGTTGAGGCAGATTTCAGAGAAAGGCAGATGAAATGTTCACAAAATTCTGAGTTTTCAAGCTTGGCATGAAAAATACATAACCTCACTGCACTACTCTGAAAACCTGACCGGGAATTTCACATTAGGAGATGCTGGACCCTGAGAACATTTGAAAATACTAAGTATGAACTTCTTATTTTTGATAATATGGTCCAGAGTATGAGTGATGCTTATGTATCTTCCAGTGTTTAACAGCTTCTCTTGGACTACATAGAATTTAGTGCTGGCAGCAAATATCTGCTAGCCAAGATGGAGTGAAGAAATGGCAGCTAAATTTTAATTCAGATGATTCATTAGACCTAAGCTGTAATTGTTTTCTCTGTTGCATAGTTCTGGAAGAGGAAAGGATACATGGTCATGGACTAATGCAAATTTAAAAGACCTCTTTCATTCACGAACATTTATATGAACGTGCAATGTCATTGGAACAATTTTGATTACACATGTATGAGTGTTAGTCTTAAAACTTATATGAGAAGAAAACATTATGTTAGAGCAAACGTTAATGTTCTGTTTTTCAATGGTGCACACATTCTACCTCATTGGAATGAATTCTTGGACCTAACTCATAAATCTCCGGAAAAGGTACCTCCAGTGCCTGCAGATAGAGATAAATCATATTGAGAAGACACTGAACCATGAAATGATTCTGTTAACATGTCATCTGTCTAGAGTGTATTTTCAAATCTGCAACAGAAGGGTATAAATTATGAAAGGAAGGTGGCCTCGCAAAGTTGGTAATTTGGGAGTTGGTACTTTTAGCCTCTTCCATCTGCTGCCCCAGCCTAGGTGTGTCTGTTTTGGCTGAATACTATGAAGTGAAATATTAAGTGAAATATTAAGTGAAGCCAACTACTAGTACACCCAAGCTTTTTAAAATAAAACAAGACCATAAATTCTTCAAACCCTGTTGTCTTATGGCAAGTGTTATATCAGTACTACCTCTTCAGTTATCAGTGACTTGTAATTTTGAAAAGTGATGGCTGTGATAAGTAAAGTGGCAAACGGGATAAATATTCTACTTTATAGTCTGGAAAGTGTGTGTGAACTAGTGCAGACAAAGAATCCAGACCAGGCTGTATACATCCTGTGTATCTGGATATGTCCCTCAACTTTCTCAGGAGGTGGTAAATTAAGAACAGTTTTCTGGGCTACACTGGTAGCTGATACTAAAGGAACCTGGGCCAAATTCTCCACTCATGGAATATCGGTCAGGTTTTGCTCTTCTGAAGGCAGAAGAAAGCACCTGTTTTAAAATCGACTGTTTATAAGAAGTGGATATTTAGTTCTCACAAAAAAATGCACTTCATTAATTCGTATGGTAGAATTGAGCTAGCGAGGGAGTACCCCATTGGAGGGTGCAATGCTCCAGCTGCAGTGTTGGGACCTGAGGTTTTAGGAGTGCCTGTTACTTTGTGTTTCATGATTCTGGACTGCTTCAGGGGCCAACCTGGCTTTAGCCAAACCAGCTCTGGTATCTCTACTTTGTATCCTACCACCTCTTCAGCTTCTGGGTAGTTCTGGACAGCTTTGTACTCTCGGTGCAAACACTAACCTCATCGTTAATACCGGTATGGCTCTCTGAGGAGGTTCTGTAAGACTGCCCAGTTATTGTCATTTTTAAGGTGTGGTAATGTGAAGAGACAGGAGAGGCCTGCTTGTTCTTAATAGGTAGTGTGACTGTTGATCTGCCATTTTAGTTAGAGATGCCAAAGTATTTGTGACTTTGCCTTTCTGCATATCATGTAAAGCAGCTGGTGTTCTACAGGTCATTGCTTCCATTTAAATACATGCAAGCAGTTTGGGGGACACTAGTCTCTGGGGTTAACTTTATATTAACAGTTTCTAATATAACCTTTCATAGTGGCTCTACCAATTTTTTTTTTTAGTTTTGCCATTTGCATTAATACTGATGTATCAGGTAGTCTACACTTTGACTCCTGCTATATGGAACAGTAAAGAAAAATATATAAGAGTTGTAAGACAATAAAGCTTAGAGTTGATTAATGTTGTGAAACGAAAATCCCCTCAAAATTAATAGAATTGTAGTTATTTAAAATGAACTGTTTGAAATAATTAAAGGAACATGCTTAATACAGTCTTATAATTTGATGGCAAGTGTACAGGTTTCACAGCAGAATGTTCGTATCCTAATAGGTATGTGAAAGGTGGCTAAGGCAGTATTAATAAATTAATGCGAAGGATCAGATTCTGCCCATGGATATGGGGAAAGCAGCATAGTTTCAATAAAAGCTCTGTATACATGTCCAAGCAATTGTTTTCCTTTAAACATCATTTTGTTGTTTTATACTTTGAATTTTCATTTGCTTGTTACTGTATTTTTATAGAAAATACAAATTTTAAGACTGTGAGGTGATATGTCGCACCCAAGAATACCCTAGAAAGATCTAATGACTAGAAATACAGTGTCCTCATAGTCCTTGGATGGTATATGAATAGCAAATGGATTTAAGAATAGACAGTCTTGCTGTAGGTATAAAAGAATACAGATCTGATATTGAGGATTGGGGAAACCTTTACAAACTCTTTGGTATGTTGCAATCTCTTTACATAACCTTGTACAAGTCAAACTTGACTAGATTTTCAAATTTAAGTGCTTTGATGTGCTGCTAGATGGATTTTCCAAGAGAACTTGTATGTTTCACTTCCTCTGAAACTCTTTTACTGCCCTTCTTTGATTGTTCAGAAAAGTTCAGGATCACAGATTTCAAAGAAGGTGAGGCATGGAGGTGTTTTGAAAATCTCAGTAAATGCTTGTGTTCAGTTATGGCATTCATAAAAGCAATTTTGAAAGTTTCTTGGCAGAATTTTCTGAACCTTAAAGACCCTTTATTGCTATTGTCTGGGTAGACAGAACATCTGATGTGAG